AATAAAGATATCAATTTGTTTTCTAGGTAGTTATGTGAGGCTGAATGGTCATTTGTTTTTCGATCATCGAAACATCGTTCAGTTGTTCAGCTCAGGTGTGTGTCTCGGCTCTGCCCGGGCTCTGTTAACACTTGTAACCTTCCTAAAGACTCGTGGCGACCAGTTGCTGGTTTGTTCAATATCACTTTTTCCTTCCCCCATTACAACCCTCAGTTCCACAGTGTATACAGCCTGTATATATTGTACACACCTTTGTGTGTATAGGTAATATATATTCTATATTACCTTTATATACACCCCTTCAGAAGAGAAAACACCGCAACAACGCAAACGTTCATTCCGCCCAACATAATATATGGTGGTCATCTATAAAACACTTCTGCACGTACGGTCTGCTTGTCTAATCCACCGCTCCATTGTGGGAGCCGTATAAAAGCAACAAAATCTATACAAATATATCTACTCACAGAGGAAGAGCGGCTTATATGTCGTCCGCACGGTGTCCATTCCGTCTGGTGAAAGAGGAAGAGCTGGTCTCTGAACCTACGCCTCACTGTACAGACCGCCCTCTCATTGGGCCCAGATAGTCGTTTCCAATGACGTGTAAACCGATGTACTGAAATGTTCCTACCCTGAGACCCGAACTGCGTCGCAGCAATCCTTAGGTCTTTTTTAATTACAGGGTTAAAGGAGAGCAAAGGTGAAAAAGTTCGTTTAAAGGCTTTTAAGCAGTTGTAAGCTGGTCAACACATTTGTCTTCTCACGAAATGGTTACTGCAAACGCCCTTGCGGAGGTGTCTAAATCTACTCCGAGCAGAGCTCAAACAAAGTCCGGAGTGTCGAGAATTTGGCCGCCAGAATCCTGCCCAGGTCTGGTGCAAGTGATGACATTACTCCTGTCCTGGAGTCCCTGCACTGGCTTCCTGGCAAGTTTTGCGTCGGCTTCAAGTGCTCACCGATAAGGCTCTGTCTGGCTGGGCACCTCAGTCCCTGTCTGAGTTACTATCATCCTGCCCCCCACCTCAGCCTTCACTCCTCTGACTCTGGGCTCCTGTCTGTCCCCCAAGCCCGTCTACACTCTGGGGGGTACAGTGTCTTCTCCCGCTGCACCCCAGAGCTCCGGAACTCGTTATAAACCCTTCTGTTTCTTTGTTACTATTTTTGTCATTGTTTCAACAATTTCCCCCCCCCAAAAAGCGCTTTGAGATATTTGCTTTTAAAGGCGCTATATAAAATTACGTTTACTACATGGGTTTTATATTTTCGTTATCGAGTGCGGTGTTCACGCACATGTTTTTCAGAAGCCAGTGCGGGAGATGTAGAAACCAGAGAGAGAACAGAACAGGGAACAATCGAGGAAGAGCTGAGGATGGGAGGAGAAGCAGACGGAACAGTCGATGACTTCAGTTTTCTCCCCGGCCCTGTCGAAACATCAGGACCGGTTCCAACGCCAGAGCGGTGATACCCGGAGCTGACAGTAGATGTCGCTGGTTGCAGCGCAACCTTTAGTTCTTCTATATTAAGAAACTTCAATCAAGTAAAAGTGTATGAATTAAATAAGCCACGATACTTTGAATTACTGCAGATCCCACAAAGATCGCCCCCGCAAGAGCTAGAATCTAATGAGAATCTGTAATATTTTAGCAGGAGACTGGTGCTGCTTTTTAAATCCCCCTTTTCATTAGCAACAGTGTCAGATCGCCCTCTGCTGTTCGCTGGACTCAGTGCTCTTAGAGAAGAGCAGATATTTGTGGATTTCCCCTGCTCTGTGACACATGCTCATTCTGAGTCGATCAAGTTCGACAGTCTCATTGCAAGCAAACGTTTTCAGGAAGAGTTCGCTTGCTTGTACTTTTTACAACATTGGTTTAACAGCAGCAGAACTTTTATCACCTAAAACAGCTGGCCAAGATGTTGCATGTTACTCCATAGTCTCCAGGTAGGAAAACACAACCTTCAGAATAGATTATTCCTTTCAGTATATATAACATGTTTACACGTTATGTTTGTGTAACATGTAGTGAACACAGCAGACTGAAACAACCAGCAAAATCCGAACATACTGAGAGTTCAGATCCACACACAGCACTAATACGAGGGCAGAGGGCTCAAATATCGACGACACTGATGTCTGTATGAATTACATTCGTCACAAAGTCTCTCGAGGGAAGATTGTCCCTTTGTCCTCTGAGGCTGTACAACCTGAATTTGTACCAGTCTCGTATGTAGGCTGCCAAAATTGACTCTCAATCTAGTTTTGATCTGAAGTTGATCAACTCAATCCATCACGAGTACAAACTCAATAAAAATGCAAAAACAAAATCTTCGATATGCCGATAGCCTGAGTATTCAGTAGTCTTTAGAAGCACTTTTGGCAGCAGGATCAGACTCGCTCATGCTGATGGGTATGTGTCTTTAAACTGTATTGTGGGAACAAGGGTGAGATTTAAAACCACAAAGAAATATCTGTTGGTCTATACTCAATACTGAATCACTGACCTTATTATTTTTATTGCAAAACATAATCATCAGATGATTGAGCTGTTTATTAAACCCATTTAACTCCCTCAACCAGATCTCGGCATCAGGGGACTGACAAAACCATAAAGCAGGTTACCAGAGTAGATATGATATACTGACCCATTTGGCATTTGGGTAAGTTCCACAATAATCCTAGAGTAACTTTTTTAGAAGTTCATGAACGCACAGCCACAAACACAGGAAAGGTTTTCTGAAAACTTTATTCAGAGTTGGAAAGCATCGTGAAATACAAAGCACTTTCATTCCTCTCTACACTCTCACCTTCCTCACCTGCGCTACAACACCTGCAGCCCGCAGTCTTCCTCCTGTCCACTGCTGGACAGGCCT